GCATGCCCACAGCCTCCTCTGCTATCAACATCCTATACCAAAATACTACATTTGCTAACAGTAGATAAACTTACATTGACACATTTCTATCACCCAAAGTCCACAGTTTACATTAATGTTCACTCTTGGTGTTGTACATCCTATAAGCTTTGACAAATGTATGAGATGTATCTACTATTATCAGACAGAATAGTTTCACAGCCCTAAAAATCCTCTGTTCTCTGCCTATTCATCCTTCCCTCCTCCAAACCCCTGGCAACCACTGATCATTTTCTTGCCTTCATGGGTTTGCCTTTTCCAGAATGTCATGTAATTGAAATTAAACAGTATGTAGCCTTTTCAGATTGGCTTCTTTCACTAAGTAATATATATTTTAAATCTCTCCATGTCTTTTTCATGGCTTGATAGTTCATTTCTTTTAGGGAGATGTTTAGTGTTGTTACATCACTTAAAAAGACAATTTAGCATGCCTGCGAAATTCATAAATGCAAAAACCATTAGATCTAGCTCTAATGGTGACTTTGTATTAGGAAGGGAGACAGGGAGATTTATTAGTATGGAAGTGATATAATTAAATTTTCAGTGCAGAAAAGTCAAGTGGTAGCAATATGTAGGCTCTTTTTAAAGAAGACTGTTTTAGTTAGGCATAAAATAATGAAGGCAAGAACTAAAAGGGTGATGATGGGAACTGAAAAGAGGTAACTAATAAAAAAAAAAGTCACCGAGTAGTAAACAAGGGAATCTGGAAACATTTGGACATCTCTTAAAGAGTTTTTATTCATTTATTTCTTAAAAAATTATTAAATATTCTACTATGTGCCAGCTTGTAAAATTAATATTCACATATTGGGTTTGGAATTAAAGAGAAAAATTGTGTTGCGACATATTGGAGATAAAGATCTAAAGCTCAGAGGAGAGACTGCACTTAAGATAAAGACATAAGTGGTGGATAGAAAGTATGGGTTTGAGAACTAAAAGTAAGGAGAATCATAAGAAGGTGAACAGAAGAAGAAGAAACTTTAAAATATTTTAAGATAAGCAGGAAGTTGGGTCTGGAAAGTTATCAGTGAAAAGGGAGAGATTTAAGATTCAAAAGAGGGTAATGCATAATCGTGGCACTAACATCCATGGGAGATCAAGAGCATTTCGATCTAAAAATTGTGAGATAGCAAGTACCATACTCTTTAGGGACAGATTTGGCCCTGGAAATAACAGGAGAGAAGAAAAATTATGATTATGAATCCACAGTGGATCAGACCTTTACTTATTCAAGAGATTCAGATGGAATGAGAAACAAAGTTGCTAAAGAGAAGGTAGCTACTGCACGTGCTGTTTCCTTGTGTCCCTAATGCTCTGGAACACCAAACAATTTGAACTAAAGGGAACTATATTCACAGAGCTCTACCTGAACTCCTGGAGAAGCATCCCATGAAACCAGTACCACCTCTAATGTAGTCATAGTTGAGTCAGGCAATATTTTGCATTTCACTGTTGAGAATGTGAGAAATGTGTCCAATATGAACTACTCACTGGATAAACTATATTAAGAGATGTTCTTACATAGAATGACTTTATCCAGTGAAGCACAAACACTGTTGCATCTAATCACCTTGGTTGAATAAAACATCAGATTCTCTATCTGTTTCTCTTCCCATGTGCACAGTGGGTCAAGTCATATTAAGGAACATTCATGGATACTGTAGACAGATCAGGCAGACACCTTACTGCAGGTACCACAACATTCATTTTCAAAGCAAGAGTGAACCAAGTCTGGTCATGATTCTGGTGACTCATAATTATTCACTAAGTGGCATCAGTTTACTGGTGATGAGAACAAGGGCAATTAGACAATTTGGAAGTGTGATGATTGAGTTTGCACTCTAAAGTTAACAAAGATTAAAAAAAAGAAAATTAACAGAGAGAAGTAATCGAAAACATCAACCCTAATGTCTCCTATTCTTCCACTTTTGCAATAGGAAATGATGCTCCCAAGCTTGAAATCACTATCATAATGAAGGGGTTAGCCTGGCCAGTCAAGAATTCACTAGAACAGAAGTTCTTTCTGGCAGAGGGATGGTGGATGGCCGCCTACATAAATTCACCACATTTGTCCAATAACCCACATAATGTCATATTCCATGATTTTTCTTTTTTCAGGAGTCCCAAGTGCAAATTTCTATTTTTAATTAAATGCCAGTTTTTTGTACACTGACTTTGATCCCATGGTATTAGGAATTTGTTTATGCTCTGATGCTTCATTAATTAAAGGTCTTCTAATGAATTTCAAGGGCCTAAAATCAACTTCTTTTGTAGGGTTATAGTTTACTATAGTTGTAAAGGTTAGAGTTGACTACCATTATAGGATTAGAGCTTATAGTGTTATAATTATATTTATAAACTAAGTGAATTTTAATCCCCAGTGAATAACTTCAACAAGTTTAAAGTATTGAGTTTACTAAATGTTGTCACTATTTACACTGTGAATGGCAACCTTCATAGCTAAGGTAAAAATAAAATCAGGTACATTATAAGTTATCTTAACGAAAGTTGACTTACACAGAATTTTACTTCATTAATGCTCCTCTAGGACTATCTCAAACTTATGCACACTTTATTCTAGTTTATACTTTTCACTATTTATAGTTCTATTATTCATTAAAAGTCTGTTTCTATGTTGTTATAAACAGCTATGATAGGTAACACTGCTTCCCATCTAGTTTTAAAGATACCATATTTAAAACCATGGAGGCCAGGTAGAATGGTTCTGCATCAGAAAACTTTTTGACTTGATTTTGTCTGTGATTATCATCAGCCAATGTTTATTGAGCTTCTGATATGAGGGGCACATCCTGTTAGTCAGTGAGACTATGATGAGGTCTAAGACTGAGTCCTTGGCTTTCAATATAGGTGAGGAAACAAAACTTAAAAAAAAAAGGACAACAGTAAAGGGATCATGTGTTATCACATTTTCATCAATAGGAGAGAAATACCTAAAGGCTCCTGAAGGAGGTAAATGCAGAACAGAACCACTTAAACATGTGAAGGTGAAACAGCAAGAATAAATTAATCTGTTCACACTCCTAAATAATTATCGCACATAATTATATGCCAAGCCAATTAATTCAAGATCATTAGCAATATGCAAACAATAAAACACAAAGGAGCAAAATCCCTGAGGACAGCAGGATCATTTAAATACATGGGTCTTTAAGGAAAGTTACATTTACTGAGTGCCTGATACTGTACACCTGCTGTCTCACTCATTCAGTCCCCCAAATAAACCTATGCAGTGAACTCAGAGAAGGTCAACAACTGCTTCAAGGTCATTCAGCTAGGAAGTATCTAAGCCAAAATTCAGATCCAGATATGCTTGATATTAAAGCTAATGTTTCTTCCACTACTCGCTTCTGGATCCTTTAAAACATAAATTACATAATATCAAGATTATTCCTTCACTGAATATACCCAGCCTATGTCAGATCAATGTTTTCTGAATGTTATTAATTACATCCAGTACAAGTTGATATAAATCACAACTCTGTGAGAAGTCTTTTGAAATCATCCATCTCCAACACCAGCATGAGCATCTTATGGAGTCCTGAGACGTGCTTTCCCTATTACTGGAGCTTCTCCCTCTCTTTCCTCAAATAAATCCAGCTTCGTTACACAATGTTCACTTCTCTAGTGAGTCAGTGTTTCCATGTGGAAGCCTTTCAGGATCCCTTGACTAGTCCAGTTTCCTTCTTGAACACCCAGGCCTCTTAAACACTACCGTGTGCTTTATCCCTCTCTGTCATAGTTCTTACTGCATTAATAGATATACATCTTTCTGAGTGGGAGGATTTGATGAATTTTCCTTCATAAACTCCACGGGGCTAAAAACTATGTTTTTGCTCAATCTGTGCCCTCACATCTTAGCACATCTTACCTGGAAAGAGAGCTTAAAATATATGTGGAATAAATAAAAAATAGACATTCACAAACAGTCTTGTACGTAAGGGGTCATAGTCAATGACGTTGTGAGTGACTTTTTCTTGCAGGCTGGAGTTTCCACTTTCCAGAAAGTAAGACTAAAGTAAACACACATGCCGGCTAGCATTTTACCGAATCATATGAGATGACTCAGGTGATGATCACTCAGATCACTCACGTTATGGAGGAGTCAAGAGTCTGCAAGCATGTAAGAGAGGGTCAACACCCCTTACATCTGTGGATATTAATTGCTTTATTTACATAAAAATGAAAAATAAGAGAATGGAAATTAGAGAGTTAGAGGAAAAGCTAAATTCAACTTCAGATATTGTTGAAAAGTAGAAACCAAGTCTTGTGTACATGTATAATGCATTTACGAGGTTCTGAACATGAGGAGCCCCTCAATAGTCAGTGAACGAGTAGATGAATGGCATCATCCTTGTCATGTGGAATAAATGAAGGGGCCAAGCATGACCACAAACAGATTGTTTCAGAAGTTACAGGGGATCACAGTACAGTTATGTCAATTTTGATATGGGCTGCTTCTATATGAGCTTCTGAATCCAGAGTGTACAGAGTTTTTTTTTCCCTGACTCTTATTATTTTTATTTATTTTTTTTATTTTTGACCAAAGCATTACTGAAGAAAAAGAAAGAGGCTGGAGGAATAACTCTCCCAGACTTCAGACAATACTATAGAGCTACAGTCATCAAGACAGCATGGTATTGGTACAAAAACAGACATATAGACCAATGGAACATAATAGAGAGTCCAGAAATGAACCCACAAACTTTTGGTCAACTCATCTTCGATAAAGCAGGCAAGAATATATAACAGAATAAAGACAGTCTCTTCAGCAAATGGTGTTGGGAAAACTGGACAGCAGCATGTAAAGCAATGAAGCTAGAACAACTCCTTACACCATAACCAAAAATACAACTCAAAATGGATCAAAGATTTATTTTTAAAATTTTTTTTATTGAGTTAGAGTCAGTTTACAATGCTGTGCCAATTTCCAGTGTAGAGCACAATTTTTCAGTCATACATGAACATACATATATTCATTGTTGCATTATTTTTCATTGTGAGCTACCACAAGATCTTGTATATATTTCCCTGTGCTATACAGTATAATCTTGTTTATCTATTCCACATATGCCTGCCAGTATCTAAATTTAGTTTTGGGAAGTGGAGAGCTGACATTTTAAAAATCTGAACCAAGACCCATTGGATAGGATGTTAAGAAGTCATTGTAACATCTCCTTTCTGTCCAATCAAACCCATATAAATAATTTGAACCAATCTCATGAGATATTTAATACAGAATTTATTTGGTTATGAGTAGAGATTGGAACACATATATTATTGTGGCTAAGTAGAGGAGTACAAAAAGGGAAGTGGATACTGAAAGAAATTAAGGAAATAGTTGTGTACTTAAATTTTTTTTGATAGAGCTTATATCTATAAATATATTTTTCAAAGATTCTTCAAGGGACTTGAAAACAGGATTATGAATCTTGTGTTGCTTAGCAAAGCCCTCATCAAGTTATTTTTAGTTAGTTCATCATAGCATTGCAGAGACAGAGTAATTCCTTTATTTATTAAAGTGTTATTGAGCACCTATCGTGCACATGTTCTGTGGGTACAAATATAAGTATATCATCTTAGATCCAGTTGTTGGCATTTCATACACATGTACACAATACAATGCAATTTTATCTTTTAAAAACATTAATCTCCTAAAACTAAACATTTTACATATTTTATTTTCACAACTCTATGTGGTATATTTTGTCATTGTCCTCATTCTAGAAACCAAGGTTCTAAGAGGTTAAGTAACTTGCTCAAGTCACCCCAATACTGAATTGTGAGTCTAAGATCTGAAGTAGCTTTAAGTTTCTCTAACTCCACAGTCCATTTCTTTTTTCATAAAACCTCATTCCTTCCCAATACATGTTATGAAAGAGAAAAACACAGATAGAGGCAGATAAGTTTCATCCTGTCCAGGGATGGGATTGAGGAAGATGTCTCGTGTTTAAAAGGTGAATAGAGTCTCCCACCAGAACAAAGATAAAGGCATGAAAGTACACAGGGTAATAAGGGAGTAGCTGGAGATGAGGTGAATGTCAGCTGGATCCAGAATGTGAATGCTCCAGAATGTAACCCTAAAGAATGCGACTCTTTATAACCAACGGGGTGGCATAGGAAGGTTTTACACAGGGGAGTGACAATCAGAATTGTGTTTATGTTTGTATTTCATGAAGGAATATGAGTATGCATTGGAGCTAGTGAGATCAGAGGCAAGGAAACTAACAATAGTATCTCTAAATAACCAAAGAGAGAAGTGGCAAAGTCTTTGAGTAACACTGAGGACAATGAAGAAAGATGGGGCTAATTCTGGAGCCATTTTGGAACTGTTATCTAGAAGGTTGGAGATAACTTATATATGAGAAACAAAGAATAAAGAGGAAATAATTTCAAATTTCCTACCTTGGTTACTTGGATGGTGTCTGGTATGTTGAACTGAAATAGAGGTCTTTGGAGAAGGGTTTGGTGTGTAGAGTACTGATGAGATCATGATTTTAGTTTGGACATGTCCAGCCTGGGGCATCTCCAAGGTATCTAGGAGAAGGGAGATAGTTGGGAAGTGGGCATTTAAATATGAAGCCTAGGGGAAAAGACCGTACGATGGGTATGAATCAGTGGTTGTTAAAGTCATGGGATGGCATAGGACTGTGGGTAAGAGGGTGAATTAGACAAGAATAGAACCAAAGATTGAACAATGGAGTATATTATACTTAACTCTAAGCAGGCATGAACCATGACTATTTTGTTCATTACTCTAACCTGACACTGCATGAAGTGTCTGGCTCAGAGTAAACAATATTTGTCTCACATGAATAGATTATGAATAATGAATGAATGAAAGGAAGAGGAGAAAGCAGTAAGAATTCTAGGCAAAAAAATAAAGGACAAAGACGAAAGTAGTTGGACGTGAGGTGTATAGTATAGTGTGTTGTTAAACAAGGGAGGAGAAAGTGTTGGGATGGGGGAGTGAAGGATATATTGAATGCTTATTTAATTTTTTATTAAATTAGCCACTCTATGCACACATGTTAATCTTCCCTAAACTTTATTTTTAAAACTATGTCATTATCCTCAAGCAGTTTCAAAAAAGATAATATTCAAACTTCTCCATGTGACAACTAACATCCTCTACAATTTGGCACTGACTCACGTTTCCAGCCATAGTATTGTTTTGAATGCTTTCTCTATTCACATTCCTTTTTTCACTCTTTTCTGAACAAGTCAAGGTTTTACCTGATTCCAAGATTTTGCCCATCTCCTTTCCTCTGCCTTTTATAATTTACCTTCCATGGCCCAACTAAAGTCTCCTTTCATTTGTGAGAGCTCCTTGATTAAGTACACACTCCTGGATCCTTTCCCTGAATTCATTCTTGCCTAGGTCATGCCCCTGCATCCCAACATAAGTGTTCTGAGTATTTATAAACTCAAAGAACAATTGTGGATTTATCTTGCTGTAAGTCACAGCTGGAGCTTCTTTCCCTGTGTGTCAGCAGTGTCTACAGGGATGTGTCAGGTGTGAGCCACTCATCTGATTCTGACGCTCTTTCCCACAGTGTTCACAGCTATAGTGACACTAGAAACAGAAATAAACAGAGAGAGCTGCATGAAGACCATTTTCTTCAAATCTTGTTGTATTTCTACGTGTCTCTCTGGGGACCAAGAAAACTTGCCATCTCTCTCTTTTTTTAAAATCCTTCTATTGACTTATTGGGGTAGAGCCAGTCATGCTGAATGATGGGAGAATGTAGATAAGAGGGTCTGGATGGTGATATTCATCATGGGTGATGTAGATATGGATGCTGAATGGAGATGCTCACAGGCAGTGTAGATATGGGTGTCTGAGGGTGATGCTCATGGGGGAATGTAAATATAGATGTTGAATGGTAATGCAGCAAAAGCTGACTTGGCTGCAGTTGAAATTTTCTCTTCCCATCTCCACCAAGCAGCCCTTTTGGAGCAACCTCTACTTATTTTATTCAAAATTCAATTATCGAGTCCTTTTAGAAATCTTTCCCAATCAGCCTTATAACAATATCATTTAGGTGCTCCTGTCACATCTTCTTTATTTGATATCACACTGAGTTATAACTGTGGGTTTAATTGTTGTGTATCTCACAAGACTGTTTTGAGAAAAAAATGCAATATATATATTTTAAAAATATTTTCCCCAGTGTCTAGCATGGGACTTGAATAGTTGGTACTAAGTAAATATTTGCTGCTTAAATAAAATGGTTATGATTGCTAGATCTTCCACAATTATTGCAGTAATTAATTTGATGGTATAAGCCTCTTAGTTTCTTAGGGTGCCATACTTGGCCTTTAAGCCTCTAGAAGAATTTTAGTTCAAAAAAAAGAAAAGAAGGGAAAAGACAACAGTAGTAAGGGTTTGAAGGTGATGTTCCACACTAGAGTTGCATTTAATAGAAAGCATTTTGGGGTAAGGTACTGAAAATACTGATTTTAATGGCCACCTCCTAGATTCCCACTGAAGGAACTAACAATGTAACAGAAGGATATATAGAAGGCTAACTTAAAAGTCCTTCTTATGAGAAGGAGAAATCGTACTTAAAAGAAAGTATCCCAAGAAAATGAGTGAGAAGATCGTGGGAAAACTCCACAACACATTAGGCAGATGGATGATAGAGGGAAAAAGCAAAGGTGGGTGTACTGGGCCTTGGCAGGACTCACTGCAAACATTATGTCAATTAACACCCTGAGAAGCCACCTACAACTGTGCGTGATTCTCAGATTTGTTCTTGGAGGGATGAGCTATAATAAACTGAATGACAGCATTGTGGGGGAGAGATGCACTACCTCTGCCAGGTACTGCTGTAGCTCATACCTGGCACTGGACTAACCAAACAGAAATTGGTTATCCTGAAAGCCGAACCCCAGCGTGGCAGTGCACTAAAAGCAGAGAATAAACAACACTGAGACCGGATCTCTGCGGGGACTGCCCAGGGTTTCAGCTTCTGCTCTACTTCCCTGAGGCTGCTGTATTTTGTGAACTGGTAATGATAACATACAGTAGATTTATGTTTTCCCTTTCCCTATTGTCTCAGTATAAAAGAATTGGGCACAATTCCACATCAGTCTTTGACAGACCCTATTTAAATGCCAAATTCAGCCAGAAGCCAGTGGATCTCTTGCTGTAGATAAGCAAACAGGAATGTTACAGACCAAACCTGGGAGAAAAGATTCCAGTCCTAACTAAGAAGACACTACCAAGAATTGGAGCAGATATCCTCTCCTGATACAGATTTAATGAAAAAGACAAGAGGAAAATTCCTAACTCATGTTATTTATGTGATTCAAGGGAATATAATATCCAAAACAAAGGAAAAATATTTAGATCAAGAGAGCCTACATGGGCTTAAAAATGATTGCAGAATAAAAATCAGACTGGTAGCAGTGTACATCAGTTTGGGTGTTTCAGAAAATCGAATTGTAAAATAGTAGACAAAATTTTAAACATTTTCCAGAATTCACGGGTAAAGAATACAGAATAATGAAAGGCATGGAGTATAAAGCTAGGAGATTTAATAGTGTGTGCGTCATACATCTACACAACCAATGCCAAACCCCTCCCCACTACACACAAACACTTGTATGTAATTTTCTTTTTTTATTGTGGTAAGAACACTTAATGTGACATGTACCTTGGTAACAGATTTTTAAATGCACAGTACAGCCTTTTTAACTTCAGACACTGTGCTCAAAGGAAGAAAAGGTAAGAGAATTTGTAGGCAGCAAAACAATCCTAAAATAAGAGCTAAATGAAATTTTTAAACAAAAAGGAAATGGTAAACTAAGGACCATGAAACATCAGGAAGTAAGAAAGAACAAGAGGAGGAGTATAATATGGCTAAATGCAATACATTTTCTTTTCTTGAGTTTTTTAAAGTGTATTTGAGTTTTGAACCCAGAATTGTAGCACTGTCTTATGTAGTTCTAAATTTATGTAAAGAAAAACTTTAAAACATCTATAAACAGGAGATAATATTCTATACTACACTCAAACTGATAGGTGATGATGATTATATACGTGTGTGTATATGTATATTTGTGTGTATATATATATATATATACATACAAACACACACATAATGTAAGACCTAAAGTGGCTATTAAAAAAACTATGCAAAGAGTCACACTTAAAAAGATTGAAGATAAATCAAAACAAAATTCTAAAACATGTGTAACCCAGAAGAAAGGAAAAATAAAATAAAAAGGGAACAAAAAAGAAAACAAGAAATACAATTGAAAATGTAAGCCTTAATAAATCAATAATTAGATGAGATATAACAAGTATAAATTCACAAGAGGAAAAGATTGACAGAATGGTTTTAAAAACATGACCCACTTTTATGTTGTACACAAAAATCTCATCAAGTATAATGATATAGGTGGGTTGATAGTAAAATGATGGAAAAAGATACATCATACAAACATTAACCAAAAGAAAAAAGGAGTGGCTACAAGATAAAATATAAAGTTAACTTCAGAGCATAGAAAATACTGGAGACAGAGTTGAATATTACCTAATGATAAAAGGGCTAGTCTACCAAGAAGACGTAACAATCTTAAGTGGATATACACAAAATAACAAAGTTAAAAACATATGAAGAAAAAACTAATAGATCTGAAAAAAGAAATAGACAAATCCACAATTATAGTTGGGGACTTTAACACCCATGCCTCAACAATTGGTAGACTAACTCGATAGAAAATCAGTAGTAATGAATCTAGTAGACATTTTTAGAATACTTCACCCAACAATAGCAGAATGCACACCTTTTCAGTTGCCAAAGGAATATATAACAAGATAGGCCATGTCTTGGTCCATAAATATGCCTCAATGAATTTAAGAGTGGAAATAACATGATCACAATGCAATCAAACTAGAAATTATTAACAGAAAGATAACAGGGAAGTCTCCAAATACTTAGAAACTATAAAACATACTTCCAAGTAATCATGAGTCAGAGAGAAAGTCTCAAGGGAAATTTTAAAAACTGAATGCTTATTTAACTGAATAAACATCAAATGAAAATATAATATCAAAATTTGTGGAACACAGAGAAAGTTATGAGAGGGATATTATAGCACTAAATTCTTAAATTATAAAAGAAAAAACATTTCAAATCAATAATCTGAGCTCTCATGAAGAACCTAGTAAAAGAAGAGCAAAATAAACCCAGCACAAGCAGGAAGGAAGGAAAAAATAAATATTAGAGCAGATAAAATGAAAATATCAAAACAACAGAGAAAATCATGAAACAAAGAGATAATTCTTTGAAAAGATCTATAAAAGTGATGACCTTCTAGCAAGACTGACCAATATAAAAAAGAGAATAAACAAATGACAAACATCAGGGGTGAAACAGACCCTACAGACAAGAGTAAGGATTATGAAGGAATGTTACAACACATTTAGGTGAAATGAACCAATTCCTCAAAAAGCACAAACTACCACAACTTATCCAATAAAACTGGTGGAAGACAGATACATAAATCAATGAAATAGAATAGAAAACCCAGAACTGATCCACACGAATGTGCCCAACTGGTTTTTGATAAATGTGCAGTTCAGTGGAAGAAGTTTCCTCTCTTTAGAAAAAAAATGCTGGACCAACTGAACATACAAAAGCAAGCAAGCCAACAAACAAACCTACCTTTCCCTAAACCTCACACCTTATACAAAACTTAATGCAAATGAATCATGGACTTATCTTCCAACTGCAATTTCCCTGCTGGACACTTATCCCAGAAAAATGTAAACATGCGTTGATACAAAATTACAAAAGTTCATGGCAGCTTTATTTATAATAGCCCCAGACTGGAAAAAGCCCATACGTTTTTCAACAGGTGAATGGTTAAACCAACTGTGGTATATCCATAACACAAAATACTACTCAGCAACAAAAAGGAACAAACTATTGATACACACATGATTTGGGTGACTTTTCAGAGAATTATGCTGAGTGAAAAAAGTTGATGACAAAACATTATGTACCACATGACTCCATTTATTCACTATTTTAAAACATTCTTATTGAGATATTACATATAACATTAAACTAGTTTCGGATGTACAATATACTGACTCTATATATGTGTATACTGTGAAATGATAATCACAATAGCTAAATCTAGCTAATATCCATTACCATACAAAATACAAAATAAAAAATTACAAATTTTTTTCTTGTGCTGAGAGCTCTCTTAGCAACGTTCCATCATACAATACAGTAATATTGAGTATAGCCCATGCTATAGATTACATCATCAGGACATGTATTTTGTGACTGGAAGTTTGTACCTCTTGACCATCTTTACTCATTTTGCCAACCCCCAACCCCTGCCTATGGCCACCATCAAACTGTTCTCTGTATTTATGATACATGTCTTTCTGTCACTTAGTATAATGCCCTCAAGTTTTATCCCTGTTGTCACAGATGGCAGGGTTTCCTCCTTCTTTGTGGCTGAATGATATTCCACTGTGAGTGTGTGTGTGTGTGTATCTTTCTTCATTCATGGACACTTAGGTTGTTCCCATATCTTAGCCAATGTAAATAATACTGCAATAAACGTGAGAGTGCACATATGTTTTCAAGATAGGGATTTCATTTCATTTGGATAAATACCCACAAGTGGAATTGCTGGGTCATAATGGTAGCTCTGTTTTTAATTTGCTGAGGAACTTCGACACTGTTTTCCATAGTGACTCCACCAATTTACATTCTCACATTCAACAGTGTATTCAACAGTGCGTGAGGGTTCCCTTTTCTCCACATTCTCGCCAGCACTAGTCTTTTATTATCTTCCAGCAACAGCCATTCTAACAGGTGATAACTCACTGTGATTTTGATTGGCATTTCCCTGGTGATTACTGCTGTTGAGCACCTCTTGATGTACCTGTTGTTTATCTGAATATCTTCTTTAGAAAAATGTTTATTCAGATCCTTTGTTCATTTTTTCAATTTGATTGTTTTCTTGCTGTTAAGTTGTATGAGTTCTTTTTGTATTTTATATATTAACCAATCCCTTATCAATTCATAATTTACAGATACTTTGTTACATTCTGTAGATTGCCTTTTCATTTTGTTTACGGTTTCCTTTACAATGAACTCTTGCTGTGCCCAAGCTTTTTAGTTTAATGTAGTTCCACAAGTTGATTTTCGCTTTTGTTAACCTTGCTTTTGGTGTCAAATTAAAAAAATATCTTCAAGACACATGTGAAGGAGCTTACCATGTTTTCTTCTAAACGTTTTATTGTTCAGGTCTTACATTCGAGTCTTTAATTAATTTTGAGTGTATGAGTATAATTTTTGTGTATAGTTTAAGATGGTGGTCTAGTTTCATTCTTTTTCATATGATGTCTAGTTTTCCCAGCACTGTTTACTGGAGTCTGTTCTTTCCCCATTGTATGTTCCTGGTTTCTTTGTTGTAAGTTAATTGACCATAAATGCATGGGTTTATTTTTCAGTTTTCTGTTTTGTTCCACTGACCTGTGTGTCTGTTTTTATGCCAACATCATACTGTTTTGATTACTATAGCTTTGTAATATAGTTTGAAATCAGGGTACATGATGCCTCCAGCTTTGTTATTCTTTCTTAAGATTGCTTTAATTTTTTAGGATCTTTTGTGGTCCATACAAATTTTAGGACTGTTTCTTCTCCTGTGAAAAATAACACTGAAATTTTGATGGGGACTGCATTGAATCTATAG